CGACTAGTGCAATTTCTTTTATTGGTTCATACATTATTTTCGTACCATCCCCCCAAATACTGACTGCCCTTGTATTTGGTAGGAAAGTTGTCAAGGATTCCGATCCAATGGGGACAAACATCTCCTCACATTCATGGTTTGCAAGTGGATCAAACGAAGGAGATCATCATTTGCCCTAAAACTCACATTTAAAAATCAGATAATTCAATTTCAAATCTTATCTTATCGTCAGACGTTACCTGCATTAAAACTATCAATTGATAAAAAAAAAAATTTTCAAGATTCATTTTTACCTATTTATAGAAATTATGGAACAAGTAAAAAGCATAAATTCTTGGCCAATTCAACAATTCACTAAGTTAATACACATTATAGGCACAATTGGATTTAATCAAATAAAGAATCCATTTTAACTTTGATGCCATTGTGTAAAAAAATTCTTGGACTTGTTTAGCGAGAACTACTCATTTCATTTATTTGAATCCGTTGAACTTTCTCAAAATCTGCCAGTTATAAGAGGCTTCTAAATGCCAACCAGAATTTGTGCGAAATTTCTGTATGATGTCTGCATGGGTTCATTTTTTCGCACCGTTGACGTGGACAACATATATCGGGCTCACTCTTGTTCTCTTGAGCTAATTCTAACACACGTGGATTGATTTTCAATAAATAATAAAACGAGGTTTGAACATGGGAGAAACTTTATAACAACAAACAAAAATGTTCGAGTTTCGACGAAATATATGAGATAAATTACATGATAATAAACGACAAAGTAATAGCCAAACTCAAGATCAAGATCACACCTCAAACATTAAAAACCAAAGAATAATACAAAAAAGAGGAGAATATATGGCTTGCAGTGGATATATTTGCATTACCCCCAAATAACACAAATGGAGGATATTTATACTGTTACATGTCAAATGGTGTCCGTGGGATGGGAGGACATGTGATCTCATCTCCTTAACCGAGATATCTTATCTTAGGTATCAATTTTGACTCTACTAGCCTGTGGTACGTTAAATGTCCCAAAAAAAAAAAAAGGCAACCACCCCATACCTATGCTCACAAGATTGATTTTTCTACTCATTACAAAAGTACAATTAATCATTCTAAAAGGATTCCATAAATTTAAGATCTTCAAACGTGGATCGTCACTAGCCTTAGTCGATTCTCAGATTCTATTTCGTCGAACCTCGCCACTTCAACAAAGAAGTTTTGTTTGGACCTCGGATTTGTCTTTAGCAGAGGGACTCTAGTAGGTTCTACTCCACGTGGGATGCCACATGGCTTCGACGAAAGGGATTTCAGTGGGTCGGCTGAGCCACATGGGAGCTTAGGTGGCAAAGCATAACATGATGTGTCTTAAATTTCCATATGTAAATATTATTATATGATCTCTTTTGAATAAGCAATTCACAGTAAGAAACTTTATCCATCCAGATAATTTTCCCTAGTAATTTCATGAAAAACTGTAGAAGCAACAACCAAAAAAAAAAAAAAAAAAACTTAAATGAGTATTTTACCCTTTTGCATTTAATTTGTGGATCTCGTCGTGTAGTGTTGTAGAACAAGATAAGCACGCTGCCCCTGAAAATTACTTCTACTTTCCAAGTTGAGTTCCAACAAAGCATTGTTAACTGGACTACACTTATGAAATCGTATTGCATAAATAAGAAAAGTAAGGTGGAAAATTAGACGAAAATGCAGAACAGTAATTAGTTACATATATTTTACCTTTATGCACAAACTCAATACTCAGGTACTCTGTAAAACAGACTATTATAGTGAAAATTTTAGCGAAATAAAATGCAGCAGAGAGAATTCTTGTACATAACCAACTTCATGAGTGGCAACTAGAATCGTAAAATACACACTATGTTCATAAACCCCCAATTTCTATAAAATTAGCACAATAAATGTAATGAAAGGGAAACACGAAAGGACCAAGGTACCTCAATATGATTCTTAAAAGAAAAATGAGAGTGAAGTAAAAGAACCACTATAGATATTTGAAGAGTTTTAAAAAAAATAATATGAAGATTATAATCTAAAAATTATGTGGAAAATATCACAATAAAATTACTCCAGAAAGCCTGTTATATGTTACGGTAGTAAGGTAAGCAGCACCTGATCAAGAAACTATAATAATACAATACTGCCATTTGAAGAAACTGACATGAAAGGATGCACATTGAAATAGTAAGGACTTTACGATAGAAAATTTTTTTCCGTTACATTTTAAGAGAGACAAACTTTATTTAATTACCAGTGCTTAATTACCATATATAAATAATTGCTTTTCCAATCGTTATATTCTCCTTTCTAGTCCATAAAGATGAATGGATTGATAGCTACTCCGGTACTCTCACAAGCTTCAAAGATACCTTACCAATGTCTTATATCTTGAGATCCCCAATTGAGTACATGCCAAACCTAAGACGATACCTAAACCAGTTTCCCCTTTCATCCAATCCTTTTGAACATTTACGGCATTTTCCACTAAATTTAGCTTCTTACCTGCTAATAAATTTTTCAAGTAACTTGAAAAAAAAAATTAAAACAAATTAAGAAAACAAGAATATGAGAAAATACCTTCTACAACAAGTTTTGGGATTCCAACTTGTGGTGTTTGTGTTCTTCCTTTTTTCTTCATATAACTGGGTGTAAGGTTCTTTTGTTTTGTTTTCTCTGCTGCACAATGTAAGAGTAACAGTTTTCAACAGAAAGGTCTGTTGATACCATAAATATAGCATAAACAACACACATATATGCTTTAATATTTCACTTATGCTTGATTAATTTTGTCTTAATGCTTTGATTGGCTTGGAGTTTTTAGCTGACCAATTTTTAGGACCTATTTTTGGTAGTTTTAAAAAATTTCGTAAGGTGTTCAGTATGGACCATTAGTATAATCCAACCAAAAACAGTAGACTCTATTCAACTAGAAGAGATGGCAACTGGCTATACGTAACTAGTCAGACAAAAAGTGCAATTAAATCTGATAAAAATGCTTTGATTAGAAAGTTTTGTTGTCAGTACACATTTGTCCCATTCAGACATTTTGGTTATCAAATTCAATATCCACATGTACATTTTGACTCATTAAGAATACCCAACTTCATTGGCTATGAAAAAAATATCATTGGTGACATTATTTAAATAAAAAATGCAAAAGAAAAATAACAGTAAAATATGATGGTAATCTCT